GTACACTGGACAACGATAGCCCAAGACCGCGAGCAATGGAAAAGAAGTTGGGACCCGCGCAAGGCCAACCGCCGTGCTGATCAACGGGTCGTCTAAGTATCTAAGTAAGTAAGTAAGTACGTTGCGGAGTTTCACGAGTTCTTAGGTTGGATACCCTCTTCTTACAAATTTGAACTACTTCTCATCGTGAGTCCAATAGACTCGTGCACAAGTGTGCTAATTGTTACTCTATTTCCTTACGAGCGCTTCTCTTACAGCAAGATCGCTAGTTTATATCTGAACTCTACAGCAGTTTCCCTGCGCCTTTCTACCCGTGACCCAGACAACCTCAGCATAATTTGACGCTTTTTCTGTGTATTTTTTCTCACGCGGATTCGAAGGAAGATTTTTTCTCCGATATTATCATCGTGTAAACAGATTTAGCAGGTCCCATCGGACCTTTGCTATAACGTACAAAGCTAGGGGAGGAAAGTGAGGTCTAGCTATAGTTCGTGCTTCATGTGATGTCTACATGATGCCCTCACGTTTGCAGATCCTTAAAGAGCGCCTTGGAAGCGATTCATGTATGTCTTGCTATGTTTTGAATATATGAGCAGTGATGCTTTAAAAAAAGTAGACCGCAAGAACGGAAAAAAATGAAAGAAATGCCGTCGTTAATACCAAGCGAATTTACAGAGGTCACAGAAGGCTTCGATGTAATCATGTAAACCACTTCGCTTTGCAGCGAACCAATTGTAAATCCGGTAACAGTGCCTTCTGACATGATCCAATCCAGGGAACTTTCCTGAATCTCAAAGGCATTTGAGCGCCACTGTAGGTTTTTTTTGCCGCGCACTATCGATGGTGCAATTGATATTTAGTGGAGACCAGATGTTTTCGAACTTCCAAAGTAGCCCTCTGCTACATGCAAACCCTCTCAAAGCTTGAGGGTATTAAGCCATGCCCAGCTTCCTTTCCAGCATTCACAAGATTCTTTGTGGATTCTCTGTCACTTGTAAGAATCGACGTGTACCAGGTGCTCCTTAACCGTAGGCGAACGACGATGTGGACAAATTTCATTTTTCCTTGCTCATTGTGAAAAACCCAGTTTTGCTCCGCCCGCTATCGCGCGCATCACACGGCAGGCTTTAGCGAAACTGGAGGACCCATGGAATATCAGCATGAGGTACTCCATTAACCACCTCACTATTGAATGTGTTAGACCTTTCCCAGTTTCGCTGAAGTCCATCGCGTGATAACGTCTGGAGCTGAACTGGCATATTTATCTCACAACTGTAAACATCCAGCATTCTTCTTGAATTCAGATAATTTAGCGGTGAATAGGATTGCTGTCAGTCTCAAAATGAAAATGAAATATGCCTATTTACATAAGTGAGGAGCTAAGGCTTATCATTTATTTACATTCACCATTATTTAGAACCCCGAAAGGATTAGCGGTTTAATGAGTTTGGGCTTTCTTGATAGGAATGAAACTTATCATTTGCTGAAGACTTGATTGAGTTTATGCAATCGACTGCTATTAAGTAAGCTGGTCATACAATGATACAATGTGCACGTACCACTACAAATAGAATTTGTAAGTAGGGACGCTCTAGTGTCAGCGCAAGCTGCGTAACGGAAGACGACTTTTGCGTTCTGACGCGCCTTATCAGCCTTTATCAGTTGTATCACTTTCTATCACCCACCAACAATGTCCCCGTCCCACCCCACATAACACTTGTAAGTATGGTTGCTCTGGTGTCAACGCGAGCCAGGTAACGGAATCGACGACTTTTGCGTTCTGACGCGCCTTATCAGCCCTTATCAGTTGTTATCACTTCCAATCACCCACCAACAATGTCCCGTCCCACCCCACATAACACTTGTAAGTATAGACGCTCTAGTACCAATATGAACGACAAAACGAAATTGGCGATGCTCGCTTTCTAGCCCCTCTTATCAGCTATTATCGTTATCAGTTCCTATCACGTACCACTTGTGTCCCCATCCCACCCCCTATAACATATGTAAGAACCATGGCGCTGTCATTGCTGTGACTCGAGCTATGAATTTCCGGTCAAACACACACACACACACACACACACAC